TTCGAGGCAGGTAAATTTTCCTCGAGGAATTTTAGTAATCGAGGTACTCGAATCATTCGAGGAATCGTTTCAGCCCTACTTTAAATAACAGGATACTGACGGTTGTGTGTCATTTTCTAACTGAATAATTTACTTTACATGAAATAATTAGGGCTGGGTGATAAAATATTTTGTTTTTAAAGATTTAAGTTTTGGAAAATCAGGATTTATTGTGTTTCCATAGTTTAGAGAAGCGTCAGCGCGCCTCATGGGGCCATTTTGATTGACAACTTTATTTATTTAGACTTTGAAGTCCAGGGACAGGTTACAGTTTTTCTTCTTTATTCAAAGAATAAAATTGCCAACTAATACCAGTAGCAGGACTTTGGATTTCGAGGAAAGAACTTCACAAACATATCAGATCTTTATAACTCTATGAAAGCATTAAAATTATTTTTCTTCTTAGAATCCAAAATGTCCTTCTGGTAAAATTGCATCTTTGCATCTGCTAATTCAAAAACTGTATTCTGGTAATTAATTGAAACTTCTGGCAGCCCTGATATTCCATTGCATAACTCATAGAAAGGATGATTGAAATAAAAAAACACTTTTTGAAAATATTTTCTCATTTGTAATTCCTTGTTGGAACAAGAAAGCCCAGGCCCAGCAATATATATGTAGAGGACCAATGATGCAAAATTCACATTTTAACATTTTAGTTCTTCCTTTTGGGTTTCTATCGCTTCTAAAAACAAACCACTTAAAAAAAACTTGATTTTGGCAGTAAGTTAATGTTTTTTGGTGTTTGGAAAATGAGCCGTTTCAAAAACTTCCAAAGTGTAACGTCACAAATCAGCAGGCACTGCCTGTTACCTAGCAACCAAAGTAGTTCTACCCGTTACCTAGCAACTCGGGCAGAGTTCCAGCACGATTGGTCAGCTGGGTTTACCGCTGAATGAGCTGTACAATGGCTGCTGGAAAAGACCAGAGTTTTGTTGTTGACTTACCATCCAGAAACCACTTGCTAGATTGTTGTTGGTTGTGCAGGAGGCTCCACTTCTGCTCTTCAAAGATGTACGGTTGCATAAATGCGCATCTGTTTGCAGCCATTTTCACGTGAGTGTAAACGTTGAGTTACAGGACGTGACAAACGTCAGCTTAATTAGATTTATAGTGCCAAGAGGCACAAAAATAGCTCATTCTGAATAAATTATGATTATGCAAGAATGATTTTGCACAACGAATGTATTAGCCGTGTTTTGTATAGACCATACGTCCATCCTAACCTGCTCAAGGAAACTTTAAGCACTTTCAGACTTGAATAGAGCCTTTAGTAGGTCTCACTCTGGCATCACAGGTAGGCCGGTTCAGTCTTTCACCCAGACGTACCTGATCTCCCTCCCCTTATTTCCTCTAAAGCGACCGCTCCAGACAAACACACCGCCACCTCCACAAACGTTCATCCCTCTGTGTGTTTGGTGCAGGTACACCATCGACCGGCGGACAGACATGGACCGAGTGTTCAACGTCCATGCAGGAAACGGCTCTGTGTTCATCCTCCGGGAGCTGGACAGAGAGGAGAACGCCTGGCACAACATCTCCGTCATCGCCACAGAGTTCAGTAAGTACAGCAGACGGTTCTGCAGCCCTGCATTCTGACCGCCAAATTGGGTTTTTGGATCTTTGGATGTTGAAGTGAAGCGCTGGCTGGCAAATACTGTTCGTCATCCAAATGTGAGTGGCACTTGTATGGTGGAAATCTGAATAAAGAGGCCTGATTTACCTGGTGTCTGCCTCTAACTCAGGGCTGTGAAGAGGCGTTTGCTCCACTGCACTGCAAAAACACAAAACATTACCAAATAGTTTTGGTTTAGTTTGTAGTGCAAATATCTGAAATAAGAGAAAACTGACAAACAAGATATTGGAGCTTGTTTTAAGTGAATAATTGCTGAATGTTGAAAAAAATAGTAGCTCCAGTGACATTATTCCAGTGTTTTAATTTAAATAATCTGCCAGTGGAACTAGTACTTTTTAAAAACAGATATTAAGGAATTGTTGACTTAAAACAAGCTCCTTTATCTTGCTGCAAAGTTACCTGAAAGTTAATTTCAAGTGCACTAAGATATTTGTACTAGAAACTAAACAGAAATACTTGGTAAAGTTTTGTATTTTGGCAGCTACAGATTTTTTCTGTTTTCACTTTACCCAAACCAACCTGCTTTTTCTGAAAAAGTAGTTTGGGATCTTAAATCAGAGCTTAAGATCCCAAAAAACAACACACCACACCCTGAGCTAAAGAAATTCAACAACAGAGGGAAAGAAAGTTGTTGGGACTCAGATGGAGCCTCACCAGGACTGGACTGTCCACCAAAATTACTCCAAGATCCAGGAGGCGACAGAAGACCATCTGGGAGGGTCAGGGGTCAAACCAAATGTTTCCACACGTCAACAAAGCATCAAGTTGGACGTGTTTGCACTTTGATTATACTGCCCTGAGAAGGTGCATGGTAGATGAGGCTACAGATGCTGAGGTGTTTCTGTGTGTATTTGTATGACAGAAACACACACAGGTCTCACACACACCACACACACACACACACACATGGTTAATGAATGATTGGTAGCAGATGGCAGTTCCTGATCTGTGGTGGCGGCTTCTATGCCTCACAGCCACCAAAGCACAGAAACTAACTCCAGATTGAAACTACAAAAACAAGCAGATGCATCATGGGTAACGTAGTGTTAAATGAAGGGGTTGTCTCTTTGGCAGGTGAAATTGAGAGAGTAGCTTGGATTTAATTACATTGGGCGCCTGAATAAAGACCAGATTATTCAGGTGTTTTTATTTACAAATTAATGGTGTGAAGCAACTTAAAATCTGGACTGACGACACGTGAAACAATTTTGCTGAATTAAAACCGTTTCTGCCGAGATGAGATTCCTCCACAGAGACTCTGGATCAACCAGGATGTTTTGTGTAGCTTCCCTCACTTATAAGCGAAATCGTAATCATATCTGAAATTAAAATTAGTTTGACTTTTAGAATCTGTTGGGGGTAAATTTCAAAAGTAAATTAATTTTTCAGCAAACTTCAGTTTTCTGTTTTTCAATTACAGTAATTACAGCTATTACTTTGAAGTTGCAGCTATAATAAGTTAATGTGTTTCATTTTCGCTTATTGTGATTGAAACGCTTCAAACTTCTGCGCAGATTTCACATTTAAAGTCTTACACCAACAGGTTGAAACAGTAGAGGCTGTTATTTGTTGTTGCATAGTGTTTGTTTTTTTTCAAACCCATTATTTATTTATATACACATAATTTGATTTAGATATAAGCGGTTGCCTGGAAACGCAGCCAAAGCCTCACACGTGTTCAGCCCCACACTTGTGTGAAGGAATAATTATCCGTGTGAAGTCACTGTGTCCACCTTTGTGTTTCCCAGACAACCCGCGACAGATAAGCCGTGTGCCTGTATACATCAGAGTGCTGGACGTCAACGACAACGCTCCAACATTTGCCACCAATTACGAGACGTTTGTGTGTGAGAACGCCAAGGCTAATCAGGTCAGTTATTACGCCGCATAAAGCCATCGCCATGGTTTCATCCGGACCTCACCGCTAGGATTAGGTGTCCAATTAGCAGACCTCAGAGAGAATTTGCAAGTCTGTCACATGTGTTTTAAAAGGACTAGATGCTTGTTCCACATCCCAGGTCCTGAAAAAAACCCTCTCTTTTTCAAATAGAATAAAGAAATCAAAGGTAGAGTCAAAGGAATATCTATTAACTTTAGTTCTTTGAGTGTGGTGATGTGGGTTATAGCTACTGAAGCTAACAGCTACTCAAGCCAGCAGCTACTGATCACTGTGGGAAAACACAAGTGTTTTCTCACTCAAGTTTGGGAACCAAAGCTGCAACATTTGTTACGTTTTGTGTCAAACAAACCAAACCGTTTAAAAATCCTGTTCCCCTCCTCACCTGTGGGGGCGCTGCATTGAGAACCACTGCAGGAAACAAAATGAAAACCTCTGAGGACACAGAGGACAACTTCCTTCTTCATGAAACGTAAACAAAAGTGGATTGGTGTCAGGTTTTTTTCTGATTTCTCATTTCTTGTTGGTAAAACATGCTAGTGCTAGGCTAGCGTGTTTGTTTTGGCTGTATTTACCCAGAATGCCCTGCTCTATTGTCTGCTTCCCGCTTCTGGAGCTGCACCAGAGTTGAATTTTAAAAAAAGAAAACATAGTTTAATGGCTTTAGTTTAGAGTTTAAAACTCAAGTTGCCTTTATTTGCCAGTTTGGACACTGGAAGGTCAAATCTAAACCACGTCTTCCTGATGCTGCTTGAAAAAAAAAAAAAAAAATGTCCGCTTATTGTCTGCAAGGATGAAACCATCTTTTATCTGTTATGTCCATTCGCTGTTTCATTGTGATTCACGCATGTTGAAATGTTTGCAACACGGGAAGTCTGCAACAAAGGGAGGCTTGACAACCTGGCCTTGTACAGGAGAAGATGATGTATAAAAACATCAGTGTAGGAAGCAGGCCGGGCCTGTCAGGGCTGTTTGAGACCCAGTGGGATGAAGGATTGTCCTGTGCATAAATGAAGGCCTGACTTAAAGCTCATGGCCTCTTTTTTTAACCCCTGCTGCTAAAAACTGCATCCCAAAAACTAGAGACAAGCTCAGATGATCAACACTTTAGTTTTAAGATGGAAAGCTGCAATAAGACACAACCAGTCTTTAAAGAAAGGATTCAATGTTTTATTTTTCTCTTAGTAATAAATGTACACTGACTGTAAGGCATGTCTGAGTAAGGAAGTATGTAGGATGGCATAAAAAACATCATTAAAGGCAGATGAACAAAAATACCATCGCTTGAGCTGCTCTGAGGCTTACTTGGGTTGATGACATCACAAGAGGCACCAAAGAGCTGGTTAGCATTTTTTTATTGTGTACAAGCAACTTTTTACAGATTTTGAAACATTTGAGTTTTTTCTTAAGACCAGTACAAGTTTCTCAAGATTGGAGAGATTTTCCTTGTTTTTTACCCAGGATCGTATGACGGCGTACTGAAGCCAGTGCAGATTTCCATTAAAAAAAAACCTCAGAAATGTTGAGTTTCATTTCTGAAATGTTCTAGAAAAACAAAAAACTGAAATGTTTTAGTTTGAAAAGTATAAAATTCTCAACCTTTGAAATTTTTCTGAGTTTCAAAAAGTCAAAAATCTTTAACTTTTCAAACTCAGAAATCTATAAATGTATAAAATCTATAAAATTCAGGGGTTCTTGGCAGAAAATGTCACCTTTTTTCTATCTACAATGACCCTAATCCATCGTTGTAGGAACCAGAACATTAAAGTCTTAAAGATGACTGAAAGATGTTCCACATCTGGACAAAAAGTTACATTATTAAGCCTACTTCGTGTTGTCAGACAGGTACTATTCAAGTATTTAATTTTTTTACTTTACATGTCATGTAAGAATCAGTTCAGTGTAACTTGTGAATTTGAAGCAAAAAAACTCATTTAAAAAACGGTCATTAAAGCTTGAAAACAGTTTTAATCTGTTTTCTTTGCTGACGGATCATAAATCTGTTGCTAAAATGATTTTAATGTTTGTGCTACAACCTGCCTGGCCATCATCTGACTGTTTAATAGTGGGCCAGATTTTACTTTGGCCTCATTTATTCTAGAAAAAAAGTTGACAAAAGCAACATTGGAGTCCATAAAATACAGAAGAGTAGAGCTTAGCGCAGCAGTTTATTTTAAAGAGATAAAAATAAAGTTTTTTCTCCTGAATCGGGTCAGTAAACAACCAATCAACACCCCGCATTTGTTGGGAAAGTCCTGGATCGGTTCCTGCACATGTGCTTTTGTTTTAATGACCCCATCCTGGAAACCCACCAAGGATCCTCTGGTGTGTAATGCTGGAACGCATCCATGGAGGCTTTCTTCATACTTTCCAAGTCAAATCATATTAATTTCACATGCATTGTTGCAACCAATTCAGAGCTGCTGTTATGTTTTGAACGGGTCAGAAACGGGTCACTAACATCTGACGTCTGCGTTTCCTTCGCTGCAGAGGATACAGATCGTGAGCGCGACGGATCCAGACGAGCCGCTGGGAGGACATCGCTTCATCTTCAGTCTGGCTCCGGAGGCCGTCGGGAAGGCCAACTTCTCCGTTCGTGACAACAAAGGTCAGGTCCCAACCTCTGGGTCTGATGTGGAGGGCCACACCTTCGATTCAGTTCATTGACACAGCGCCAATTCATGACAAGTCATCTCAGAACACATTGCAAAACAACCTTTTGTTACATTCTTGTACTTTCATTTGTGTTTCTATTTCTTCTAAATATGGTCCACACACTTAAACACCTGTTTTCTGACATGAAGTTAATATTTTTTAGTGTCTGGAAAGTGAGCTGACAATGACATTCTACAGGCACAGCGCCGTTGCCTAGCAACCCCAGCTGAGCTCCAGCACATTTTTATCAAAGACCACTGTTTTGTTGACTTACCATCCAGAAACCACTTGCTGCATTCTTGTTGGTTGTGCAGGAGGCCCCACTTCTGCTTTTCAAAGATGCTCGGTTATATAGTTGTGCATCTGTTTGCAGCCATTTTCACGTGTGAGTGTAAAAGTTCAGTTGGTGGCTTGACCAGCAGCAGATTACTTGGATTTAAAGTGACAGGACGCATAAAAACGGCTCATTCTGAAAGGTCCGATGGCGCACTATGGCCGTTGTAGATGGATTATAAACTTCTACCAAAAAAACGCAGGAATTTCTGAGTTACGAAAGTCGAAAATGTTCCACTTTTAAGATTCAGAAACATCCAAGTTTTTTTCTAGAAAATTTCTAGATTTCTTATAGCGAGTTTTTGACTTTTCCAAAATTTGTCAAAATTCTGTTTGAGATTTTTGGCAGAAATTGACCTTTTTTTTTTGCTCTACATTGGGCCCTAACTTGCTCTAGTGGAAAGACAACAGATGTAACAAACATGTTTGGCAAGCTGATCTGTTTTGCTAACAATAACGGTATTTCCCATGAAATCCCACCGACATACTCTGGACTCTGTCAGTAGTGTGATGCCCTGCAGCCTGCATGCAGGTTCTGACCCTGTGGCCCGGTTTGTCTCCAGACAACACGGCCTGGATCCTGACCAGGAGGAACAGCTACAACAGCCTCCAGAAGAGCGTGTACCACGTCCCGGTGGTGATCATGGACGGGGAGTTCCCGGTGCAGAGCAGCACCAACACGCTCACCATCAGGGTGTGCACCTGCGACCGCGAGGGCAACATGAAGCTGTGCAACCCGGAGGCGCTGACGGCGAGGGCGGGGCTCAGCACCGGCGCCCTGGTGGCCATCTTGCTCTGCGTCGTCATCCTGCTCAGTGAGTTAATGAGCTCCGCGGAGGAGTCCGAGCCCTGGCAGGTGTTTCAGAGGCGGTTTCATATTTCACTTCTTAATTTGAAGCGTCTCCTCTGGTGGGTGGATTATTGTCAGGAACAACAGCTGCCGTCATAATTTAGTTTGAGCCGACTGTGACCAACGAGTTTCAGGGTGACAAACGTTAATAAATATAAAGATAAATTAAAATCCTGAGCTTTAGGAGGATGTGTAAGTCTACAGCGCAAAAGCAAAAAGTCTCATCTAGAAAACAGTTTACTGGTCCCCGAGAGGATTATTGAAAAGGGTTTCAAAACTACATCATTATAATTTATTGCAAAATTACTGGAACAACAAATGACCAGAGGTGACGGCTAAAAACCTAAAAACACTGATTTGAACCTTGACCTCAAACTGAATTAAATATTATTTTCTAGTCGGCTGCCTTTACCGTCAGGATCTCAAACCTTAAAGATGAACTGCTGCTCAGTCCAGATGTTACACTACAAAAACACAAATCCTACCAAGTATTTTTATCTAGTTTCCACTGCAAATATCTTAAAATTAACTTTTCAGCAAGTCAGTAACTCCTTAATATTAATAAAGTTCCACAGGCTGATTATTTCACTCATGGGGAAAATGTCGAAGTGGAACTAGAAGTTTTTCAGCAACATTAAGTAATTCTTGAAGCTCATATCTCACTGAAAAGTCAGTTTTGTCTTATTTAAAGAGTATTAAGATACTTGCACTTGAAACTAAACCAAAAATGACTTGTAAGCAGTTTTTCAGCAAGAAATAGGAGTTTGTTTTAAGTCAATAATTCCTTAACATTGATAAAAAATACCAGTTTCATTGGGAGATTATTTCACATTTTCCCAGTGGATCTGGTATTTTTTATCAATATTATTGACTTAAAACAAGTTTTTATATGTTGCTGAAAGTTACTTGAGTTAAAATATTTAAACTGGAAATCCTTGGTGAGATTTGTTTTTACAGTGTAAGACGATGTAGACAGAATTAGGCTTTGATTGAACCCAGAGAATCCAGCTCCATATGGTTCCTTCATGTAGCTACGGTGGCCCTGAGCGGACACAATGCATAATGCAGTGCTACCAGGCTGTGCTGAACAAAGTCCATGAACATCAGTGGAAAACATGGACAGTTCCCTGTGGAGGGTCAGCGGCCTTCACGTCTCTGATTTGTGGTGTTTGTTTGTGCCGCAGTGATCGTGGTTCTGTTCGCCGCCCTGAGGCGCCAGAGGAAGAAGGAGCCTCTGATCATCTCCAAGGAGGACGTCAGGGACAACGTCGTCAGCTACAACGACGAGGGCGGGGGAGAGGAGGACACGCAGGCCTTTGATATCGGCACGCTGCGCAACCCGGAGGCCATCGAGGAGAGCAAGCAGCGGCGGGACATCATCCCCGAGACCTTCTACCCGCCGGTCCGACGGCCCGTGGCGCCGCCGCCGCCGCCCAGCCGGGACAATAACGGCGACGTGAGGGACTTCATCAACCAGCGCCTGCAGGACAACGACAGCGACCCCACGGCGCCGCCGTACGACTCGCTGGCCACCTACGCCTACGAGGGCAACGGCTCGGTGGCGGAGTCGCTCAGCTCGCTGGAGTCGGTGACCACCGAGGGCGACCAGGACTACAACTACCTGAGCGAGTGGGGGCCGCGCTTCAAGAAGCTGGCGGACATGTACGGCGGCGACGACGACAGCGACTCCTAACAAGAACCCGACGCGGACGGAAGCGTGACGTGAAATCCGGACTTTCAGGCGGTTTGGGCCTGTGGAGGCGCGGCCGGCGTGAAGGTCGGGTTCCCGCGCCGTCCAGCCGGTGGCCCGACGTAGGCTTTGTGTGTCCAGTCAGTGTTAGTTGCGTTTTTGCAGGGACGCAGTGAAGACTTTTTCTTTTCCTTTTTTATTTTTCTGTGTGTATACAGGGTCCAAACGAGGCCCGAATATATCAACGGATTTTATTTGTTTTTTATTTTTCCCCGGAGCTGCCTGAGACTTCCGGACTCTACAAGCAGCTTGGTGACCAACGGATATGCCGATGTATTTTTCAGTGTTTCTGGGACTAAAACATGCTGCATATTGTGAGTTCTATCTTAGCTTGTGTGCGTACGGTAATATGACACAGTCCGCTGTACAGTTTCCTTTTCTAGGGATTTTTATCTCTGCCCACTAATTCAGTCTGAGGTTAATTCACCCCAGAGCGATACGGGAGGCAGTAGCTGCATTTCCATTCGTCGTAAAGATTGTGCAAATTTTGACTATGAAAATAAATTTACCACTTTCTAAAAAAAGAGATGGTTTTCAGTTGCTATGCAGAATTGGTCAGAACTCTGACCACTAGATGGCAGTGAAGTGCTTCTAACACGATCGATGGTTTGCGTACAATGTGCAACAACAGGCATTGATGAAATAAACAGTCCACCATCCAGGGCTTTTTGGTGGTTTGTTGTAAAGTTACGAGTTGTTAAATGATTCAGATTGTTTTTAAATATTTTAACTAATTTATATATTTCACAACACAGCAATAGAAACACTTTTTTTGCACCCAATGATTCATGTGATCAACAACCTGATGTTACTACTGGCGGAAACGACAAAGAAAACAGGAAGTAGGAGACTAATGGTGCTGTGTGTTTTTAACGCGTTTCTTATTTAATGGAAACTGCATTTGCATCAACCAACAAATTTTTGCGCACATTTGTGATGGAAACACAGCTACTGTCTGCTACACCCCGATATAAAGTAAAATGTAAACAGTTTTGAGGTTTTTGTTGTGAGGTGGTGGATTATTTCCTCCCAGTAGAGGAATGTTTAAGAACTACCAACACACATTATTTTAGTTTTAATCTGATCCAATGAGGAAAATACTGGTCTTGTTAAAACTTCTTGCTGACTTCACCAGAAATGAAAGAAGTTCTGAATCACTTCCCTTTTCATCTTGGTAGAAAGTTTTGGTTATACACAATTTACTGAAAAAGAGTTACAGCGCTATCAACCAGTGACTATTTTCCACCATCTTGATTTGTAAAAATTTAAATCCAGGCATTTTCTTTCAGCTAATTAAAAAAATATCCTACCATTTCTATCATGTTATCCTTCCACTAAATTTTCTGCTAACCTGCCAATGTTTTGTGGCTGTTCTTTTGGTGTATGCAGATTGAACTTTTTAAAATGAATGAAAATAGTTTTTCCCAGAAATAAAGTCTCTGGCCTCCAAATCAAATACTGGAATTGACATTTTGTACCAAGAAGCAGCAGTTGTGCAACAGAAATGTGCCAAAAAGCAAAGAGGACCAGTATTTTCCTTCCTCGCGCCTCATTACATACACTGTACCTCGCTGTGGAGCCAGAGCAAACGCTCGGCTTTACCCAGCTGATTTCCTGCGGGACCTCCAGCCTCCTCCATAAAGATGCTTATCGAAGGGGCACCTGACCTTTGAGCGGCGCAGAATTAGGCTTTTAAACCCAGAAGATTGTCCTCGGCTCGGAGAGAAGGTCAGCGCATCGACGAGGACACACGAGAGGTTCGCTTTAAATGTGATTTGGAAAACAAAGGCGAGCGATCCTTAAGCTGCAGTATTAACAGAATTAGTCGAAGACCTTCTGAAGATGAGTAAACAGCTCTGAGTTCAGCCCAGTGTCTGTTTCTGAGAGGGGAGGAACTACAACATGCTCTGCCCTCGCTTGAACGAAAGGCCAACCTGTGAAGAGGCTGACATTTGTTAGACATTTGGAACAGAAATAACACAATGGCATAATTGCCAAAGAGCTACTTTCTTCTCCACGTCTGTGACGGCTATTAAACATGCTGGCTGATGATAGAGGCTGGAAAACTCTGAGAGGTTACTATAAAATGTTGTTTTGTTTATTAACTTCAGTTTTCAGACTGAAGCAGTGTTGCTATGATAAGCATTTAATCATCAGCACAGGAAAAAGTCACAGAGGCTGTATAAGTGGAGCAGGAGGGTTCATCACACATGGCTAATTGCTAACCCTGATAACCTAGCAACCAGTGGTGACCAATGACAAGGCGACGACGTCCCACCTGAGTCAGAATCTAAAAAATTAAAATGGTGGCCATATTTTGCACGAGTTCTAAAATTTAATTTTACTTTAAAAACCGTTGTAGCTGATTTACCAAACGCTGAAATGTAGACATTCAAATTTGTTAAAAGTTGAGAGAATGAATAGACCAATATAAACCAACATAGATTCACATTTCTTCAGCTAGAAATGCTATGCTAAAAGCTAGCATGGTTAGCAACACAATAATTTTCATCCTCAGTAAAGACATGCAGTTAGCTTACATTTAGAAGAAAGCTGTATGGTTCATTCTCCTAAAATCTAAACATTTCCTTCTGTCCGCTTATTCGACTATCATGTTCAGACCAAGAACCCACAGAGTTGCACCTTTCTTTGCTAGACTCAGGCTAACAATGCTAACAGTTAGGATCTGCAAAGACAACGTTGTTTATTGTGTTTAATTTATTAATGCAAATGATTAGATTCGATACCCAGAAGTTGACACAGATTTTAACAATGGCTACCAGCATTTTGAAGCTATTAGCTGCTGCTTATATTTCTCACAGAAAAGCTACAGTATGCTATTTCCTGCTCCCTTGAGTTTACTCTAGTCTGGAAAAAAACTTAGTTACTACTACAGAGTTCCCAGTTATTTTTATATTTAACATATAAAAGTAGAAAGTTACATTCCCACCCAAGGATTATAACCATCCACTTCTTTGGCTACTAGCATTTCAAATATTAGCTGCTTTAAAGAAGAAAATGTTACCGTATGTGACCACATCCCACTGTCTACATTTTTACGCTATGATCAAGTAAACCTTCTAGTAGGTTGACCATTAGCATGGGGGCACTTATAAATATGCAAGCTAATAAGCAGCAACACTTTCTTGCTGGAGATTTGAATTACAGTAATAACAGTTAGCATCATTAGCATTAACATTCTGAATTTAGTTCTAACCAACATATGCCTGATAATTATTAGCATTACCAACACGTCAAAGTTGACAAATAACAATTTAATAGCCTAAACTAACTAATCCTCCGCTTTGGTTACTAGCATTTCGACGCTAATTAAGCTACGCACTTGCGTAAAACAAAAAACTTACAGCTTACTACCTGTTTCTACTGACTACCTGGCTGTTGGACAGTGCAACAAGTTCATCATTAGCATAGTAAGGCAGCTGAAAATAGCAAAAACCTAACCTGACTCAAGAATCACTGGATTAGCTTCATAATGCTAGTGCAGCTAGCTAACTTCTACATGCTAATGATTAGCATTGCAAAGCGACTGAACTATTAAACTTTGATTTCATTGTAAAGCATCTTTGAGACGGATAAAAAAAGTGCTACATAAGCCTGATATCATTTCATTTCACAAACTAGCTTCTGCGTTAGCAACTAGCATTTGCAAGCTAACTATATTAGCTAGTAACAGTCATCAGAAAACTCTTCTGGATAACTCATTAAACTTTTTGTCTAGGCTGGTAGAGTGGTTGTCTTGTTTTTGTCACCACTGCGGGTTGCTCAATTCTCAAGGCTAGCTAATTATTAGCCGGATAGCTAGCTGGTATCTTTCAGCTTGATTTTGTCCGTTTAGCGGCACCATTCAAGATCTCAAATGGATGTAAACAGAAAAGTGTTTTGTTTTACCGTTTCCAATCATGTCACCATTACTGGGGTTTTTCTTTTCTTCTTTTTGGTGTGTGAGGCTAACGGTTGGAGACGCTGAAGTCCAGATGCAGTAGATCTGTGGTTGTAGATGTGCAGACGCGGTGGGCCTCGCCTCTTCTATGCTATAACTCCGTCGGTGGCAATGTGGTTGAGTTTTGTTTATGTAGAAACAATCCGAGAACTAGTGGTAGTGTTCGGGGGCCCGACGCGACCGGCCATTCATCACTCTGCTTTGTAAACCGTGATATTTTGTACTGAATATTTATATGACATATTAAATATGTTTAAAATGAGGCCGTCTCTGCGAGGTTTTCTGTGAAAGATGGAAACTTTAATTTGAAAAATGTGGCAGCAGCTGCAGGCGAACACAGCAGACACTCTGTGGCCCTCTCAGGTATGTACAGCTTATCTACAATGAATCTCAATATAAAAAGACTCAACTCCACCACAGATAGTTATTAATATGTCTGCCGTTGTTAAATGGCTGGATCCAGAGGCGTCTGAGCTGGGGAAATTGTTAATTAAACAATCTATAATTAAGATCTGTGAGACAGCCAATTGGATCACAAGTGAGAGGGTAAAAAATATTTTGGTTATTAGTGGATGAGTGGCAAACGTGGAACAGATGGTGACATTGTTAGCAAAATGAACAACTTTACCCGTTCTGTCTCAGAATTACAGATATCAATATCTGTATCGGTCCCAATATTGAAAAAAATTATAGAAAAATTATTTTACATAAGTTGTTAAACTAAAATTAAAGTTGTTTTTCTAGATTTTGACCCAGATGGTGAAGCTTTTGTGTATTAAAGTGAGCTGTACTGGTGCAGAGTTACCAATAAAATTAGTAATTCAGCTTATTTATGTCTTTTTTTAAAGGAACAGTTTAAAGTAAATTCTGACCTGGTTTTCTGCATAAGAAAGAAAAAAACTGATTTTCATAGCATAATTTTAAAGTTTTATTTAAACATCTCCCGTCTTATAAAAACTTATAGATTCTAGCTTGTTCTGGTACCTCAGTGGGTCCTGCTGCCGTTTTATTTGTACCTTTCACACACAAATAGTAGAAAACTGGACATTTGTGGCTTCCTGACTCACCCTAACTCCATCAACCTTCGCTAGCTCTCGCCTGACTGGCTAACGCTTCTCCGTCACTTCCTGGCCTCCGCCGCCGCGGCGTCGTCCGTCTCCTTCTCCTGCCGCTCTCGCTCTCGCCGCATCTCCTTCAGCTCCTGGCGGTACTTCCGCTCGATGAAACGCTTCTGATGAGCCATTTGTGGGAAGTTATCTGGAAAGAGAGAGAGAAGAGACGAGGTCAGCAAATTAAGACAGATTACAGAAGCGACAGTTTTTAAATGAGCCGTTTTCGGTCAGATGTTCCGACTAAA